TACCCGCTCCGTGACTTCATTATCCGCAATGTAAACACGTGGTTTAACTGATATTACTGCAAATGTAAAGACTTTACTGTTGATATTGTTTAGTAGCAATATTTATAGAGATCGTATTTCAAGAGAAAGAAAAAAATTGATTGCGTTAACTAAAAAAAAACTACTATGTTTTTAAATTAGATATTATTATATATATCGCAGCGCAGTCGCATCTGAGCGTTGGTCGGGGAATCACCGCAACCTCTTTCAGTTGTTTCATAAACAATATTCGAAGAATCGTGCTCAGAGTGCGTACTGAACAAATCGCAAACAAAATTCCAGTTATAAATGCAGTAGGAACAGAATCATTAGTAGTAGGTAACTGTATGGCATAGGGTAGCGTGGATAGCGTTAAGGCATTGCCTTTCCATTACTAGCAGTGTTTTTCTGGATTTAGATTTCAAATTTCAAATTCAAATTCAAATCTTTATTGCGTACTATTTATACTCAATGAGGAACGAGGAGGAGGAGGTAGTCTGAAAGTGGGAACGAGCTTCTACCGGAATCCTCAACAACTGAGGATCTCTATCTTTACCTCCAATATTAATTTTCATGAGAATCTGTATCTTGTCCACACATTTTAAATATTACGCACTTGTAAATAGTCTTGAGGTATACCTACCGAACTATTTTTTCAGGAATTATCTGACAGTAAATTACCTACTACATTTTCTCATATGGGTAAGAAAATAAAATAACTAAATTAAAAAAATGACGTTCTTACGACAGTATTTTAGGAGTTGGAATGCTGAAACTTGATCAAATCATACATTTTTATGCAAAAATCCCAGAATGTTTGAATGTATGCAAAAAAGTTTTTTTAAAACGTGTGTGGTTTTTGGCCAAAATTTTGACTTAAGTCTATTTTAACCAATCAACCTGTATCAATTTAGGATTTCTGAGATTTGCATTGAAATCCGGTTTGTGTATTTTTACTCGCGATCAGTTAAAAAACGTTATTTTATTTCCTAATGGATCATCAGAATCACGTTTAAAATATATTTTTAATTTTTTAAATGGTTTGTGGTGTGTTACTGTCCTGGTCACCCCTTAAAATATAAAACCTAGGCCCTATTCGACCAACCTTTTATCCGAGAATAACTCCTGGTACTTATAACTGGCACATTGACAGTTTCAGTATGGGAAATATGTCAAAATTGACGATTTATTCTGAGATTAATGTTTACTCTTGTTCGGTCGAATCCACCCTTAATAAATAAGTATCTTAATTGTACAGACTCGTGATATCAACACATCGAATCACAGATGATGTCAAATAATGTTTCGATTGGTCATAGATATCGTCATCATAGTTTGATTTGAATTATTTGGCACTGAAGCAAAGTAGACACTCTGATATTGTATCTAACAAAAGATAATCACGAGCTTCTGTGTGTCAGTCACAAATAAAAAAAGCTATGAAAGGAAAACATTTAAGTCATCTTATATCCTCCACCACTACGATTAGGACTTACCTATCCCATAATCATATCAAATATGTAGGCAGCCACGGAAGTGACTCATTGATCCAACAGTGGGTCGATTAGGTGATAGCTAGCAATCTTTCGCTGCTATCTTTTGATATCATGCGAATAGAAATTGTCCCTATAATCTTGCTCGCATGGATTTTATGTACCTAATAGGTACCTATTATAAAGAGAGAATTCAGATTTTGTAGAATTAGGTACTCATTAATGCTACGGAATTACTGAAAAACTGTTTCACCTATCTATGCAGGTACTTCCGCGCAAGAAAAACCTGTAAGTTTTTAAAAGCTGGGTATGGAAATTGTTATAACAATTGATCCATAAAATCTTTCAGGTCTGCTTAACCTATCTTTAGTTCTATATGAAAAAGTTCTAAAGGTATGGTGGTATATTCGGAAAGCTTTATGAAACTCAAAGAATTTACAATCATTCCCTATTCAAAGTCATACAAACTACCTGATGTCTCGGTATCTAACTTTTATCTTTATTTTATGACTCCCTACTGCGTTGTGCCCCCTTGTAATTACCGTCCGACTAACAGGTGATTCTCCTATATCAAATATTGGTCTCACATTATATCACGACACAAAAAGAGGTGTTAAACATAATGGCGAATCGACATCAGTTATTTTATAAAAGCTTTTCGTGTTTTGGGTACTTAATAAATATTCTCGAGCTGCTGCAGAATGCTGTAATGATGTGCTTGATATAATCGTTTCATAATTTAATCGATAATGTGACGTTTGGAAACATTATGCCGATATCGTGCAGTATAATAATTGTGATATAATGGCCGGAAGGGACTTTTAACCAAAATATTGACGCAAGCGCTTTGTAGTTGGAGCCAGTAGCACATCTACATTGACGTTAATGTCGCGATAAGAACGTTGTGAAACGGGCTCCAAAAATTTCGTCACGTTTTTAGATGATAAAAAATCAATTTGTGTCATCGGGAGTCATCTATTTAACCTTTGTTATCGCAGCCTCTTGTTTATGCCTTATTAGAGGAATCTGCCACTGCTTAAGATACTTGTAGAAATTCAGGAATGCAATTGCCCTAAATATTTTTTCGAATTGCGGTCAACATCATCTTACATGCTACTGGTCAATCTTAAAAGTTTTAAAGATAATAGTAGTCCAGATATCACCTCTGTGGTTTTGACTGAGGATTAATTTTGATGGAAAACGCAACGAGTAAAAATTAGCTAGTTTATGTCCTTTTCTTCAGTTTTAGGATATTAAAGCCTTAAATTAGATTGGCCGAAATTTCTGTTCGGTTTGGTTCTAAGTCCGTCTGGCTAGCTATATCACCATTTTACCTAAGTCCATCGCCATAACAACAATGTTAACAGCATTGTGTTCCGCAGTTGGAGGTAAGATGGCCAGTTCCTCTGTGGTCGAGGATTCCGGGTGAAGCTCGCTTCTACCTTTGACCAGATCATCATTTTCCATCAGGTGAGATGCAGGCTAAGAGATTTCTCATTGTGAGTAAAAAAGTATGACTGTGTTTGGGACTTTAACCCTGTTGACGGCTTGGCATCTCATAGTCCGACACCAGATAACATTCATCATACAAAACACACTCATTTGAAAAATATTTCACAACATGAGTCCACTTTGAATATTGAAAGATGAATCAGTGGAGATACTAAAATACTTCATTGATTACAAGAATGATCTTAAATTGCTTCTGAGAAATGAATGAATCGGTGGTTTGAAATGTCAACCGAAATCTATGTTACATTATACCCGATATTTTCGGCGCTATCTCGAGTCTCGCACGTTGTAAACAAGCGTGATAAGGGCGGCCGATGACTTATGGGTAGGTAAAGTAAGATTTTATACCCGGATATGGGATCGTTCGTAGTTCACATTCCTGATAAGTGCCCGGATATTCACAAATAGTAACCCCTAATTGAACAACTTACTACAGCGCAACTCATTCACTGTGAGAGAAGTGGGCACTGGTATCGTTAAACAATAGAAATGTGTTTATGTTCGAATTTTGACAGGACAGGAAGACTTGTGTTTCCGTTTTTCCCTTTCAATGGACTAAAGAATACATACTTACTTCAAAGGACTTGGTTTTGATCAGTGACAAATAAATACCACAAATAAAAAGTCAGTATCAATCTCTAAAATTCATGTCTCTACCATTGATTTTTTCAATTTTCAATGAAAAACCAAGAAACTGAAAAAAGGCGGAATTATACTTAGTACGCGCTCCGCCCCGGGTGCCAAGCATCAGGGGGTGACACAAGTCGCGCAGATTAGTACTCACTGGCGCATCTGCATGGCAAATCTGCGGTCTATGTCATGATACGGGGGGGTGGGGGGTGCGATTGTCTTTCAATCGGTAGGAAACCCCAAAAATCCTGGGGGGGTACCAGGGGGTGCCATAGGACTTGTGACGGGGGGATTTAGAATGCGTAATATATGGACGGCCCCAAACTAAGTTGGTCCCGGTGAACAATTGGCGGGGTCAGCATTTAAAGTACATGTTTCTTAATCTCTTAAGATGTGTCTCAAGAGACATACACTTTTCCCTTCCCAACCTATTATAGCTAAGTCCTCGATTTGCCTCTGTTAAATTAGAGAGAGTCCTTTGTTACTCCTGTCATCATTATCAACAGCCCTTTACAGTCCACTGCTGGACTATGAGCCGAGGGTTTTGCCACTTTTGTGTTACTCCTGTAGTGGAGACTATTTGACCTGATGATGATGTAGATGTATTCGTTTGGTGTAGTGGTTCGAAACGGACTACTATTCCGAAGGTAGCGGGTTCGATTCCCGCACAGTACAAACATTTGTGTGCATGAACATATTTGTTTGTACTGGATTAGGTGTTTTCTATGTATAATAAGTATGCATTTACAAAAAAAAAGTATTTAAGTATGTTTATATCCGTTGTCTAATACCCATAGTACAAGCTTTGCTTAGTTTGGGACTAGAAGCGCAGTGTAAAATGTCTAAGGATATTTATTAGCTAGTATACAAAACGAAAATAGTGAACACTAAAACAAACATTAAAACAATAAATAGTGTTAAACACCTAGTCCCAAAAATGCTACAAGCAAAGCTGGACAGTCGCTCAGCCTGGCGCATGGCGGCTCGTGTAGCGAACTACTTTGCGCGGTCGCAGGTTCGCATCTCACACACAATACAAACATTTGTCCGCATGAAAATCTACTAAAATTTGGGTGCTTTTTGTATTATATTTTTTTTGTAAATTATCGGTTATATGGTGCCCATAGTACAATCAGCGTTAAATATGTAGTTCGTGACACCCTAGTGGCCAAAAAGTTGACAATTTGTGACAAAGACGTGTTACAAAATTTTTGCTACTCAGGGTGGCACGAACTATTTGACGCTGACTACAAGCATTATCGAAGTACTTTAGTTGTTTGTGATTTAAGGTGCTGTTTAAAAATGTCCAAAGATATAAATGTTTTTTATCAACAACAGGATAAATACCTCAGATGTTGTAACGATTCAGCGGCGCTCACATAGGTTTCAGCAGCAGGAGACTTCAGCTTCAGTGATATGATCTGAAACAAATAAATAATTTATTATTTGAATTTGAATTGAATACATAACATTCTCAAATGAAATACTTATGATCCCATTCCATAAGCCAGTACTGTAAATTAGAAATGCTACGACATAATAAGTTCACAATAGAACATCCAGAGCAGAGCCTGACAAAATGAGTATGGTAACTAAGTATTGAGTTAATTTACTCTTTTATAAATTGATATTATAACGAATCTATAAAGTCAAAGGCTCTCAAGTCCTATGACTCTACATTTCAAGAAATAGAATTTAACATAGCTGGCGCCACATTCAGCAAACACCGCACACATAACCTTCCTCAAATAAAAAAATACTGTCTGAATACTCGCACATACGCACGACACAATGAAAAGTGTTCGAGTATTCGTTTGTCCTTTCAGTTTCATAATTTGTGTACAACAATACAGAAACTGCGCACAAATTGGTGCTGCGAAACCTTGCGCCGGCGCAGAGGCGATCGGCTAAGGTGGTCAAGGATCGGCCCGTCCCAGTTTCGGCGTGGTGGCGAACGAGGCTGAGCCCCCATTTACTGATCTAGAAATAAGCGGGGCGCCGGGCAGACAGTTCGCAATTAATCGATTACAATAATTGAATTACGCGATGACGTAGCGGCAGCTGCGCAAGCGGTGTGCTCAGGTGGCGCGCGTCAAATCAAAGGAGACGCGCACACGACACGTTTCGCGAATTAGTGTTGCCATCCGATTGTAAAGCATGCTTTTGTAATAACAACTCTGTTCTTTATTCACCTACATTTTATTTCAATATAGCCTGAATTGCATATTTTGGATTTTTTTGATAAAATCTACCCATTACGAAAATTTTGTGTGAAAAGTGTTATTTTCCTGATTCATTTTCGCGGTTCTATATTTGTAAATGACAGTGACACAACTGAAGATTATTTGATTTTTAATATTTAACTGAGTTTTATAAAGATTAATTATAACATTTTAAAAGGACAAGTCAACCTTGATACTGACGAATTGCTTGCTTTTGTGAGAACTTGAGATTACTGCGCAATAAACGCTTGTATTATGAAACGTCACTCAGCTCAAGTATGAATCTACTCTTAAGAATAGATTCAAGCCTACGATTGATCCAAGCCATGATTGACTGAAGGCTTCGATTGGTGGAATTTCAATACGTAGACCAATCACAGGACAGAAACTATGCTTGAGATGGAATGGAGTATTGAGTGCTATTTCATTACATGGGCCACTTTTTGGTAGTCATACAGTTCATACTACAAATAGTGACTGTGTTTCTTGTGCTGCTTCTTCTCAGCACTGGCCCATTTGTTGTCCTGAAGCAGTGGTAGGGTTAATACTGGGACGTGAAAATTATTTTTTAAAGGCCTACTTGCATATAAATAAATGAGTAGTTTTGAGTTTTTAAAAAATCCTTAACCTTATAACATCGTGGGAATTTATTAACTATTACAATATAGGGATGATCTTTCAGTGCAAGCAAAGAAAAATATTTGTGGGGAAAAGTTTGATCCCCACCTTCAACACATAAATGATCTAGGGTTGCTTACATACTAATAAACAAACATTAATGGAAACGGGGAAGCTGTTGGTCTGTACTGTATTTTACAATTCCTGGCAAGATTTTCACAATGAAGTAATCTTTGTTTATTGATTTTTTATTGGGGAAAATTACTCTACCTTAGATCAGACTACGAGTACTACTTTAGACTCAAACTTAGAACGTTAACTTAGGTAATTTTACTGACACCTGCTGGTATCTTACCAGAAACTGATTAAATTTATACTTACTATTAAGTAACGTACTTAGTACAATTTATTAGCCAGTTTTAGTAGGTAAACAAATTAAAATTAACAAAAATATTTGGTTTAGTTATTTGTCAACCAAATAAGTATGAAGAAATGTATTTTTAATAAACGCATTTACCTATAAGAACTCACAAGTTAATTAGATACATTAAACATATTTTCCTTGTTTGTTTGTTCCACTGGACATGATATCTTAAATAAATCGCTGTTAAACGACATATCGTTTAGTAACATATCTCAATACTGACGTAGACACCTAAATGATCTTGTTAATGTTCGTCATTACTGATCACCAGTTTTTCTCAGAACTTCTTTTAAAAGAAGACATTTTAATGATTAAACAAATAATATCATTTGATTGGCTATTAATATTGTAAGAATAAGGTAACAAAGCAATGTTAAGCAAGCTGAAATAATAACAAAACTAACTTTATTTTTTTAATTTTAAAATAGAGCAGCCCGTGTTAGTGTGAAATCCAACTAGGGACAAGTTTAGAACACTGTATTTTAGTTGGGTTGGGGTGCAATTTGTAGGTGTACCTTTATAGTATTTACTAATTTTGCTATTGATAGGGAAATGTATTATTGTCACTTTAAGCCTAGGCACAGACCACCGATTTTAGTTGGCCGATAGTTGGGTCGGGCTGTTGATCAGTATGGATGATAAAAGTGCGCACATTACACTGTTTTAGTATCAGCCGATTCTTCATACAAATTAGATTCGGGCCCAACTAGCCGACTAAAAGTCGGTGGTCTGCGCTTAGGTTAATTATTATTAACTAAATTAAAATGTTAACTTGCATTCCATATGAACCTTCTAAGTATTTACTACGTTTGTATTAGGTAAATGTTACCTATTTATTTGTAGTTATCCTTAATTATCCATCTTTATCTTTGTGATGGTATTTTGATAGAAATAATCAAGCTTTTGCACTAAAATTTTAAATCAATACAATGCTATTAATTTATATTATTTAGCTTTTAGCTTCCATAACTACATTAAATATGTCAATTGTCTTTGGGAAATATTACAAATACTTATAAGTAAATGCTTTTAAATTGTTATAAGCAACATTACATTGTTTAAATTGCCAATAAAAATCTACAGAATTGAATTACTAAGTATGTAAGAAGCTCTATAATGGTAATATTTAGATAACTATAGTTCTACCAGGAGGAAATAAAGATTTTCAAGGTTCAGAAATGTTACTACTATTATTTATTATTAATAATAATATCCTCTCAAAACAATCAAGTTACAAACAAGTTAAAAATATTTTTTAAATTATATGAAAGCTATTCGAATAAGTAATGTGCGGTCTGACAAACCCATCTAACTATAATTATGTGCTATCTACAAAATAAATTATAATTAAATTAAAAATATTGGAATAATAAAATAGTTTTAATAAAATAAAGTAATATTTGTTAAGTAAAACCAGTTTAATTTTATTCATTCCATAAAAACGATATTTATTAATATTAAAAATTTAAATTAAAAGTGTAAAAATCAATATTAATTAATTTTTTAATAAAAAAAATTGGAAATCCAAATTCTTAATTTTCAACTGAAAAATTTGTATCTTTTCCAGTAGATTCAAATTGATAATGTTTAAATAATAAATTAAGATATAAATATTTTTGGACGAGTGTATGGCGTATACGCGTAGCGGGTGTGCGCGGGCGCGGTAGGTATGGCGCGCGCGGGGCGGCCAATGGGCGCGCGCGCCGCCGCCGCCGAACACACGCGGCCACCGCCGAAAAACACCGAATTTTGTGCACGTTTATATCACGCACTACCCCGCGCAGCACACCCCCTCACACCACTAAGCTCCAACCACCCCCGACATCAACCGAAATCACCAAAAAAATTCACAAAAATTTACACCCCACGCCGCTCCGCCGACACTTCGACGAATTTTCGCCGCTTTTCACAAAACATTTTCCCGGCTTTCTTCCCATATTTGGGTAGCTCCTGAAATGCGCTATCTGATAAGAAGAATTTGAAACGCAAAAATGTAGAGACGGTGCCCACAAGCGGTTCCAAAGATCGCACTTCATCAAAGGCGCGTAGTTCATATTTTTGGAAAAAATCCTGAATTTTTATGTGATATCCTGTTAGGGGTGATTGTGTGGATTGGTTTTATGCATTAAAATTATTTGTGAAAGGAATAGTTTGCGCGCTAGAGGAGAGCGCCGGGGGCCCGCCCTGCGCGCGCGCCGGGGCGGCGGCTGCGCAGCGCCCCTCGCACTCACACGTCACTAGTAAAAAAAACAACCCCTCACCCGACGGCTTTTGCCACTGGCGTGCAGGCGCAAGCCTTTAGAACAATCTTACACCAATAAAACTAGAAAATACGATAACCCTTTTCGTGGAAAATTACTTGAAATTTTCCGACCGCACCGTAGCTCTGACGTCAGTGCTGCGGTTTAGGTCCATATGGGGTGCATATTTTTTTCATAAAATGATTATTTGATTACGCCTTATAAAATTGATGCGAAGAAAGTATATATTTTTTTGTTAATACTCAGGCAAATAAGATGACATTCTTTTTTAAGATGCAAGCAGCCAACAATTAATTTTTTCATGCAATTAAAAATCAAATTCGTAACATAATAAATCACAAAATTAAGTTAGTTTCATAAAACATAAGAAATAGATGATTTTGTGGAGTAATTTTTAAAAAATAAATAAAAGTAGTGCGCATCCTTGATCCAAAACACATCCTTGTACAGTTCCAGTTAGTAGAAAATATATGTTTTTGACCAAAAATATTTTTCTAAAGTATGCTTTGTACCATAAAGTTAAAATATAAATTTTAAATCAGCGTTGCGTTATTAGAAAATGTCAGAAATTGATAATTGCAAAGAAAGCTGAATGAAATCTAAGTTCTTAAATACAATCCAAAAAATAATTAATATAAACAAATGCCTCGCGCAAAGATGACTTCTTGTCAAAATCTTGAAATCGATTTGACGTTTCCGAATGAAATGTCCCAGTCGGTGTGATATCGAGATAGCCCCGGGCCGTTATTCCCGTGTTATCGCGTAGAGCGCATTCCCGGCATTCCTGGAAGGCGCAGGCGCCAGCCCTCAACTCGTTTTTATGGCAGCTCCAAATCAAAGGCACCTTTCTAGTTAGTTTCTACATGAATATTAAGTAGTTGTCATTCAGTGTGCTT